CGAAGGGAAAGGAAAGCAGCAAGAGAAAGGATACGAACTTGTGCCAAATTTGGAAATCTCTGCCGTCAACCCAGTTGCCATTAAACCTGGTACAGGTCAGTATAAACCGGAGCAAGATTGCATTTCGTGCAGACTAAACTCCAGCCCTCTCCCTTCGGGCTCCTCTTCCATCTGCACAGGGATTGTTCTTCTCATCAGGAGCCAGTGATGAGGCAAAAAAGAAGCTGACAGATTAAGCTCCTTGTATCTTCTGTTAGCTAAAGCCTGCCTTGTCCTTACTCTGGCCTATTTCTTTTCTTTTCCCTTTTTTTTTTTTTTTTTTTTTTTGAGACAGGGTCTCACTGTGTATTTCAGGCCAACCTTGAACTCATTATGTACCCCTGGCTGGTCTTCAACTCTTGGTAATCTTCCTGCCTCAGCCTCCCAAGTGCTGGGAATACAGGTATGCGCCACCACACCCAGCATTCTGGCCTATTTCTATCCCAGCCATCAGACCAGTTAATTATTATTCTTTTTGTTTATTTTCATTTCGGTGATGCTGGCACTTGAACTCAAGCCTTTATGTGTGCTAATGCTAAATTGCCCCGGTTGGGCTCAAACTTGTGATCCTCTTGCCCCAGCCTCCCAGAGTGATGGAATGACAGGCGTGCACCACCACACCCAGCATTATTACCAGTTCTGACAGTTGAGAGGGATGGAAATTCCCCTTCAAGAGGAAATAGCACCATTTGACCCTTGTGATCTGAGCAAATAAGAACCCTTGGGACAGGCAGTAGTGAAGGTTTTTGCAGCTGCTGGTTCCCTGGATTCTTATTTCTGGCACTCATTTCCTTTTGCTGGATCAGTAGATTTAGAATAATCAAGTCAATTCAGCCAGGGACCTTGAACTTTGCTTTCACCTCCAGGGCCCTCAAACCTGTTTGCCAAGATTGGTAGCGCCGTTGGTTACTTAATGTGAGGAAAGGCTTCTGGTCCTACAAGAAACTTGAACCCCATTCTGTGAGTCCAGCAGCTACTGGCTTTCAGCACATACTGTACAAGCCCTTATATGTGGAAAATTCAGTCCTTGGGTACCCGAGCAATCCTCCTCCGGACTGTTTCCTCCCTTCCCAGAGGGTAGACTGAAGAGCATTTGGAGCTCAACTACTCTGATTTTCTCCCTTTGAGGACTGACACTTCTTCCTCAGGATCAAGGAATCTTGAGTGTGGGGGCATAAGTTTGCACAAGCCTTGTGGGGCTACAAAGCATGGTCCTGGGACAACCTCCATTTGAAGGAATCGGTAATGACTTTTTGTCCTGTGGAAAAAATCCTGCTGTCTCTACAGTTAAATGTCTCCTTGCAATGAATTTCATTGTAAATCCTATTGACACTCAGCAATGTAAACTAGCTGCCTTAGCTCCTGTAACTCCGTGAAACAGAACCTAGATATGTACTGGAGTTTTCACTTGTCGGGAAAGGGACTAGAGCTTAAAGAAAGCATTGATATTTATATATAATATATATATTTTATATATAATATATATTATATATTATATATATAATATATAATATATAATATATAATATATATATTATATATAATATATATATAAAATATATATATGCACAGGAATATATATATTCCTGTTTTTAAAAATTTAGTGTAAAGTCCAAGATAGAGATTCCTGTGGGCCAGTGGTCAGAGCAATTCATACAATCCCATGTGACCTAAACTCATAACCTTCCCTAGGCCGCGTTACTGGCCTCTTATTTCTGACCATCCAGGAAATTAGACCTTATATTAGGAGAAGCGCCAGGGCAGTGGTGAAATATTTTGGGCCAAGGACCAGTGGGAGATATGGTTGGAAAGGCAGGTAAAATATTTGGTTAAGGTTTTAGATATTTTTTTATTGAATGGCCATACCATTGTTTAGCTTACAGTCATTTGTCTCTTTACTTTGATCAAGTAAGTCTTTATTAGAATAAATGTACCTAGAGTTGGACAAAAAAACATAAAGGAAAGGATGCTTTGTGTATACCTTTCGTATTCTTGCTTATCCTTTCAACACACAAGGACACAAACAAACAAACCCCTACAAATCAGGACCAATGTCTTCTTTTGCCCCCTCCTTATTGTACATTGACCTTAATAACTGCTAGCTGTTTGAATTTATGTCTGAAATCAGTGCTTTGGACTTTACTCATAGAAGTTGCTTGAACTGACAGGTGTCACTGAAAAAAAAAGTCATTTCACTGCTTCAGTACTATAAATGGATATTAGAATATTAGAGAGTTTTCCACCTTTTAAATTAGTTTTTTTCCCCCCTAAATTGGTAAGATTGAAATCTGAAATATCAGGCAGGAAAGGTATACACAGATCTGAGTTGTCAGGGTGAAATTCTCACCACCACCTGCTTCTTAAAAATGGTAAAAATGAAAAAAATTATCCACTGGTGATAGACGAGACAGCGAGAATGAATCAGGTAGACTTACTCTCAGGCTTGTTGGGGCTCAATCTTATTCTGAGCCCATTTTCCCAGATCAGAGGCCTTTCTTGCTCTATGGGGCATCGAGGTAAGATTCAAAGGGAGATTTTTCAGTAGAAAGGTTAGGAAATGTTTGTGCCGAAACTTAGTTCTAGATTCTCCTTCTGTAGTGCTCTACTGAGAGGACTCCCTCACAGTAGGGGGTGTGACCAGCTGTCTCCTGTCCCTTCCCTTAACCAGGCGGGCCCTGGTTATATGGCTTGTGCCAAGCGAGCATTAGTTAGCATGCAGAGAACCATGGCTGCTCGCCTGGGCATGTGAAATATCCCAGATCAGTGTAGGCGCCTCTCGAATTGAAAGTGATGGGTTGGTCTTTCCCTCTTCCTTCTCTTACAGTGGCCATCCCTGCCATCGGGCCCCAGTATTCCATGTTTCAGGCAGCCCCGGCCCCTAAAATGATTGAAGATGGTAAAATTCACACCATGGAGCACATGATCAGCCCCATT